GGAAATCATACAAAGCATCATGGCAAGCAAAGTTGAAAGAAATAGATGGCATTGTTTTAGCTGGGGATGGTCGTCATGACAGTATGGGACATAGCGCAAAATAATGTGCATATAGTTTGTTCTGTTGTGATGATCCAATAAATGCAATAATTGATTTCAGTTTAGTGCAGGTACTGTGTAATTGCATAATATATTGTAGATTTATGAACTCTTAGCATATTATATATTTGCATATTTTTCACCATTTAGAAAAATGAAGCTGGCAGCAGTCCTGCCATGGAATATATGGCTTTCACAAGATCAATGGAGGATGTATCAAAAAATGATTTGAATCTTAACACCTTTGTGTCTGATCGCCATTCATCCATTGCCAAACACATGCTAGAAAAGCTGCCAGAAATCACTCACTACTTTGACCTGTGGCATTTGACCAAATGTATGTGCTATAATATCACATAATTGCATGTAGAATATACAAACATACTAAAGACATACTGTATATTCTTTAGAGGTTTCAAAAGTACTGAGCAAAATTGCTAAGGAGAAGGATTGTGAGGTGCTTTTACCATGGGTGAAGCCATGTGTTAACCATCTCATCTGGAGTGCCACATCCACAGCTGATGGTAATGGCCAAGTCATTTGGGCAAAATTTGAATCATTTTTGGAACATGTTACTAATGTTCACAAAGACTTTCCTAATCCTGTCTTCAATAAGTGTGCACATGATGATATAGAGGAAAGAACACGGCTTGATAAAGGTAAAACATATTTTACAAATAACCACAATTAGCTGTATTGCACACCCTGAATCTAACTATCAACTGCTGTTCATCTCTCCAAATTTATGTGACAAACATGTTTCATCTTATTGAATAAGTTGAACCATTTTTGTTTGTTTAAACTACTTGTATACAATTTTAATTAGCATATAAGTATACCAACTATTAATACTGCATTGGTATGGTAACTATAAATTTATTTTGGTTAATATAGATTCTGATGTTTATGAGAGAGTGCGCAATGCTCTTTTAAACAAGAGAATTATAAAGGGTATTTGCCAAGCATCACCACTTTCACAGACTAGTTGCTTAGAGGGATTCCACTCTGTGTTAAATCATTTTTCCCCAAAAATGATTGCATTTTCATTTCCAGGGATGTATTGCAGGTATGTACATGCTTTTATAATGTATACAGACTCCTATATGTATATAATCCCTCCATCATCTTGTTAATAAGTCATGCTCAACATTGGTGTGAAAAATAACTATTACAGTTATACAGACACAGTTCTATTGTTATTTTATAAATAAACATCTAAAACTAAGCTTCACTTTATTTTAAACTACAGGCACATATTGGCAATTACTCATTTCAACAAAAACCTCAGAAGAGATGAACTAATGGCTGAAACTGGAAAACCTCAAGTCAAAATATCGTATCCAAAATTTAACTAGGGATCCAAGGATAGTGCAAAGTTTTCATGCCCTGTAATACCTAAGCAACACGTTTTCCCAACATAAACATTTTGACTTATGCCAGTAAAAATATAATGAACTAGGTTAAACATTAATCAAAAGGAAATTATTCAAAGTACTCAAGTTACGTTAGCCGCGGATACTGTCACTATTAAATTATTTTAGTTGCCCATGTAAACCGGACGCGATTTTCTCAGTTTAGTCTCTTTTCTTCGTCAAACAACTGTGACTACATTCACTACATTTATATGATGGCAACAATTTATCGTCATTTCATAAGAATAGCCAAAATAGTTGCGTTGTAAATAATGTAAATAAACCGCGGTGCATATTATGTCTATGATGTGGATACTTCGACGCGTAGCTAAATCGATACAAAACAATATACATATAATCAATACTGTATACCGCCAAAATGATTTGATTACTGCACAAAATGTCCGTTTTGTATAGTATCATTTATGTACTGTATGCAGAATACCAGGTATCGACTTGCTATATATCGACATAAATATATTCGTCATTCGTGTAAGAGATCTATCAATACATAAACAACACAGCGTCGTTTTTTCCTAACCTCTTATGAATCTCTATTTATGGAATAAACCTTCCAAATTATATTTGTGTCGAATTGAATGCTCGTAATTCATAACATAAGTTGATAAATTGCGTAGATTCTCAAAGAATTGCACGATTTTTACGCTCGGAATGTTTTGAAGCAATGCTCGTCGCTCCTCGTTTCTTTACATCGTGAATAATGTTGAAGGCTCGACGGCACATGCGCAGTTGCGACGTATAGGAAAAAATCGGGTGTTCCGGGGGTAAATCTGCGCAAATCCCTTTGAAACAAAACCCAAACCGCGGAAAAGCAATGCTTTAAAATTTACAGTAACCGTCAAAATTCCTCAATATTTTGGTGAACTTAGCAAAAGAAATGTAGAGAATTAATAAATAAAGCAAGTTAAACTGATTTAAAAACTTTAAATTACTGATTATATACAAAAAGCTACTATACGCATAAAAACACTCCGCCCCCCGGAGTTTACACTATGACTGATTGACTGTCTGACTGTCTGATGTGAATTTTCGCCACTCACCACAATACTGCAAAGTTTCACAGAAACTTTGCACTAAAAAGAGTAAAACTTGATTAAGCTTCCTAGTTAACTATTGTCAACGGTCAAAAACGCATATAAAGGAATTTCAGAGAGTCGGAAATCTAAATATTTTCGGTTAATTGTGCAGCCAGCCCCCCGAATTCCCCAAGAAGGCAAGAGCAAAATCTGTTTATCATTGTTTAGTTCTATTATCTTATATGCATGGAAAGTAAATCATTAAACTATTGAAAGTAGATGGTTGAAAATAATTTCTTGATAACGAACGCTTACAATATTCTCTCCAACAATCCAATGTCAGCAAACCCAGGCGTCGAAACTCGACTAAATGTGAACATAAACAAAAACAAAATTATACATATGGTGCATTAAAACGATAGTAAAGGATCAACACAGTTCAGAATTTGCTGTCGATATGACATACACACGTAAAAATAACACATCTTGTAACAAATCTGATAAAGGCAGCTTATACCACACCCGCTTACCTTCAAAATCATAAAAATTCTGTGATGTTCTTGAATATAAAATATCACACGAACGCGTGTGAGATATTGCTTCTCTATATGCGATTGCAAACCATTTAGAAGGCGACTAAAATAACGAAGGAATCTTCTGTTTATAAAGTCACAAAAGACTTTCTTCTTTATATTAGGAATTTCGTTACGAGATTGCACATGCCATATAGCTTTCTCAAAGAGCAATGCATTTACAGATTTGAGCTAATAGTTATGAAAGAGGAGAACTCCCAAGTTGAAAATGCTGAGGTTAAATCCAGGTTATACTGAACAACGGGCAGTTTAGAGCGATTGAAAACACTATCCGTTGGATAACGCTATTCAACTTTCCTACAACCGACCTCAGATGCATGAGATCCATGTAAATAGATCGGGGCCTTGTTGTATGAAGGCTGGGTAGCGTTATAAATGAAGGAGTGACTTTTTCAAGCGTTATAAAAATGTCCGAAAAGCAGTGAAACTACAGATTTTCAGTGAACAATTATTAAAGCGAATCCTCAATTTTGGAATACTAAGGTTAACCCACGTTATACCAAACAATAGCCAATTTTTGAGCGTTTGAAAAACATCATCCGGTGGATCGTGATCTATCCAGCTTTCGTACGACCGGCCCCAGTGATCAGAGGCATTTGATAAAGAATAAGAAGTTTGCTAAACGGTTAGATGGGCTGGAGGAATTTTTTGCTGGTGCTAGTTGTTACGTTAGCAGCAGGGACCGGTTGTATATCACGCCCGTTTAGCTTAAGATAAGTAAAATTTAAATAACACCATACAATCATGGACAAAACCTGTTAATAACACTGTTGGTGAAGTATAATTTTCATTTCATTCCGATTAACTTACTTGTTTCATGGATATTCTCCCCCCATCCCCTTGGCAATGTTGGGTTTAGCATGCAAGCAAAGGCAACGTGACAAGATATCCAACATTGAATATATATAGTTGTAAACAGTATCTTTGTATTAAGGTTAGTTTGCTTGTTGAATAAAACGATAGACTTGTTTTCTATACTAAACAGGCTTGATACAACCGACCCCTGATGTTTTATATGCGTTCTTAGAGCAAAATCGCATTGATTTCATGCAAAAGGTATTTTTTAACTAAATTTTTAAATTTTTAAACGAAACACATGCATGCACAGATAACAGATTTATGTAATTATACAATAACTATCGCATACCTCCAGATCAATATGTGACCGATGTTTTTAAACATATATAAATATTTTGAAAGGGTGCAAAAATATACGTTTAGATTCATGGTATAGATTTATACACTATTCACAAGCACCATAACCATTACTGTTACTCGATTTAGCAATTTAGCATGATAATATTAAATAATTCATAATCAATAATTAATCAGAAATCAATCAACGCTACACCAGGAAAAGTCCTGATGAACATTACATTTTCTTCAGCATATTTGTATACCTTTCTTTGGCTGGGAGTACATTGTTTCTGCCTCACATTTCCAGAAAAACAAGGCCGTAGCTAGGATGATCACATCGGCAATGAAATATTAAAGTTTTAAGTAGGATATACGAATGCGATTGTCGTCGTGAGAGGCGTTTGCATGATGACGTGATGTGGCGTAACATTTCAGGCCGGTTTAGATGCTCATCATGAGCTGAACTTAATGCAAGCCAGTTCAAATTAGGTTCTGCTCGCAAGAAGCATTAGCCCTAAACTACTACAAGGTATAAGGATCAAAGGGCCTTAATTTCGAGTGGAAATCAGACACAACTGAATTCAAGCCAGAAGCCTTTGCAATGCCCATAAGTAATAAGTCTGCAGAGTGTGTAGCTAAGTGCATTAAAACTTTTTCGTGCAGGTAATTGATTATTTTTGAACAACTTATTAACTAGTACATATCAGATCACGAGTGAGATCGACTGATATTGGGCAAAGGGGATGGGTGAGACTGACTGATGTTTTATGAGGCTAATGAAGGGGATGAATGAGACAGACGATTGAAAATTGAATGATTAATCATCAACAAACATGCTAGGCTTCCTGCGGAGTCACAAGTCACAAAAAACGGTTAAAATAAGGAAATTTGTGCTCATTTCATCTTATACAACAGAAAATTACCCACAATTACAAGAAATCCTTGCGTGACACATTTTAACAACGCTACCTGTTACCCAAACAGTTTTCTTTGCTTTAATATTTATCCAGTTTTTTGAGGGATCGTTAAGATTGGGGGAACTGAGCCCGCCGTGCTACGTGCTCAGTTATCCTCCCAGGCTGCACATGCGCACTTGTTACAAGGAGAGTACTCAGAACCGGGGAGGACTGAGATCGTGACACCGGTGCATGCAATGCTCTTCCTATTGAGCTACAAAGGTAGCTGACAAGTGCGATCGTGGTTATAGTGCGGATATTAGGAAGGTAATCCCTGCGATTAAATTCAAATACTACATAATACTACATGTATATTACAAGTATACGATTGTTGTTCCTGATAAAACTTTCAGGCCATGCACTACTCACGAGTGAGTTTTTCAAAACCCTAAAGTTGCACGAGTATACATAAAATTGTTCGACAGGAAAAAAATTCATACGACATAGCTACATTACTGATTAAAAGTATTCAAACACTGTTTTTACAGCCCTCATGAAAATCCTCATATCTACTTTAAAACAAAAGCAATTTGTATAAAATATTACATGTTCCAGAGCGAGATTTTTCGCACTGTTCAGCAGTTATTTTAACTTACTATTTTAAACCGGAAGTACATTTTAACCTAACAAGTGCCATTTACTACCTTTTTAAGTTTATTGTTTAATTGGGAGGATATATTTGTGAGAGTATCGATGTTTTAGGAAGAATGAATAGTAAAGTGTTTGTATTTTTGAATAAAGATCGAATAGGGCCAGTAAGATGTGTATAGTTTTCATTGTCGATCAAATTATGGCCGGTCAAAAAAATAACAAAACATTTAAGCATTTTAAAAATTTATGTCCAACACTTTTTAAGTATGCCTTGTCTACAAGTATTTGGAATAGGTTCTCTTAATCTCAGTCAATATCTGCACGTGGTAATTTACAACACTAAAAGACCCACGTTGTCAGGTTTTGAATATTTAATGTTTTATACTCATTTAAAAATTTATGCACTTAAAAACTGTTCTTTGCACTAAAAGGCCTGATTATTCGGGAAAAGTGAAAAAGTTCTAGCAATCAAATTAATACAGTCATGAATTGAATTTTAATTGAATTTTAAAAAAAGAAGTGGTAAATGCCACATCTTTGGTCATAAATCTGCTTGCGAGTGACCAATTAATTCCTAAAACTGCTAGGGAGTGCATAATATGACGCTCTAGAATCTAAAAATAGTCATGCTTTTTTGTGAGGGCCAAAAAGAGGTGTTTGAATACTCAGTACTGATCAGTACTGTATTTCAATTTTATGTCTTGAGCCTACATGTACAAAGTTTATATATTTTATATTCAGAATATCAAATCACTGAAGCCTAGCTCACATTTTAATGGTTGTTTAACGGTTCGTAGCGAGTAAAGGTTTTAGCACGAGATTAAGGAAAACGCATTTTTTTTTCCTTGTCAGGAAATTTTCGACAATTATAAAGAACGTTTCTTTACCGATTTTATTTCCTACGTCAGTACATGTACATAAAACTGGCTGTATCAAAAATGGTAATCAAACTTCAGCATGCAGTTGTGAGTGTTGTCGGAAAACTACACTATACTAAATAAATAAAGCATGCAGGGTCGAAACTAGGGCGATAATTCGGGGAAGGGGTGGTGATAATTTTTTTATATGATGTTCTGCCCAACGGATTTCTTTTGAAAACGCGCATACATATACAAAAGAGATCTGTCAGACAAAAGGATATACGAATATGTATCCCCCCCCAATTACAGTATCACATCTATAGTTTCGATCATGCAGAAAAGCATAATTAATCAGGGCAAAAAGTAAAAGAAAAAAACCCGTGCTGAATTAAGTTGCATTGCTGCTTAAATGTATAAGAATAGAAATTTCGGTTCGTTAATCAACCGGATAACTGTGCAGTAATATAATTTAGCAAAAAATAGTCTACATGCAATCTAGTATAAAGCCCCGTAGAGACGGACGAATTTTCCTTGACAAATTTTCCTTGCCAAGTTTTGTTTGCTCGTGCATTTGTACGCGAAATATTATCGCCCTTAGCAAACCTTATTAAATGATTGATAAAAAAAAACTTACCAGGTGTTTTGTATACTTTGAAAATATTGCGGCGAGTTTATCCGCATTGTAATCAGAACCTTGTGGAAGACAAAACTATATAGATGAAAGGATTATCAAAATTCACCGTTAGAAATTGATATGGACCTCTCTGTAGCCTGTAGCAGTACCTAGGTCATCTCAATGAAGAGGTCAGATTCACTCTACCTATCAGGGCGTGCTCTGCTATAGTCTGTTATCTATATCATATAAGTTCACCTTGAGAACTTTTAAAACTATAATATGTCTATTTATATACGACTATATAGGACATAAATCATTAGAGGCATCGTAATTGCCCGTATAGTAGGTAACAATTTGATTAAGAGACAAGTGAAATATGATATTGTTCAAATTGATTGTGTTGTCAGGTTTTATTGTTAAGTTCAGTACTCTATTAAATATTACCAAACACAACAGAAATGGTAAGAAATCCAGGAAGCCATCCGTGCGGCAAGTGTGATGGCGTGTGCATGACGCGTTCATTTTGGAAAAACTATCCCTAGTAATACTTCTGATTATACATATTCTGTGAAAGAGAAGGGTGCCATCTACGCTTTTTCATATAGAGGCAAAGCGCCAGAGAAGGTAATCACTTTACCTTATAAACCTGCAGAGTACTGCACATGAGCTCAATGCCATCACCAAACCCAAAAAATCTCGGGTCCTTCACGAGTGAGTTCTTAGGTAGTTTGTGAATATCGTAAACATTTGTACATGGAATAGATACGATGATGTCATGTTGAACAAGATCTGTGAAAGTATAAATGAAAATCACGCGTACATATGCAAACGTTTTAGGCCGATATTAGGGACCTTAAGCATGTAGGACGGCAACACGACGACGACGTGGTTGGAATACTCCTTTGAATTAATGTTATGATAAAGCGTTGTTGTATATTATCAGTGTACCAGTTTAATGAGATTTAAGACGTTGAAAACATTGTGTTTACGTTTTTAGGGACAATTCTATAGAGCTAATTCGAGGTGGCGCTCACTGGGTCCTGAAATGCAGACGTTCTACATAGGACGTAATAAACGACGTTTTGCCGTTGTAAACAGAACGTAGATCACGCGCCTAAAACTCCCATAGCTAATTAATAATTCATTTCTTTTCAATGAAGCATTGTATTGATAGCTGCCGTCGTCGTGTTACCGTCCTACATGCTTAAGGTCCCTATTCACTGACACGGTCCGCCAACGCTACGCGATTTTTACGAATTTCTGAGGTTTCAAAAGCAACAAAAAACAGCAAAAGCAAGTTTGATCATGTTATGATATTCTTGATAATTACTGAAGGATAGCATACTTTGACATGTCTGGGGCCCATAGCTCTCAAAATTTCCCTCCAGAATTGAATTATTTTGCTTAAAAAAACCCCAAAAATTCGCGTTGCGTTGCGCCCAGTGTGTGTGGGCCTTAAGCCTGTTTTCCACCAGGCGAATTTATTTGCGCGATGCGATATCTGAAATGCGGTGCGGTGATTAGTTTGCGAAAAAATTTGCCGCGAAAAAGAAGAATCGCTTTCTACTTTTTATCAATCTGCACGAATAAATTGCCTATTGGAAAACGGGCTTTATACCACATAGTTTCTTTCGAAATTGTAAGACCAGTACATGTGAGTGTCAGAATGTTTTTTAGGTCAACGATTCTGGAATCGACATCACGTCCACTGGTACCAGAGTTTTCCAAAACTATTTAATAACGGACTTTGATGGACTTGTTCAGAATATATAGGTTTTTTATATAAACCTTTAGATTTCCAGCTGAAACAGCTTGCTTGATATCCAAGCGTTTAAGTTCGAATCGTCTGTACCGCACATTTGAATTAACTAAGTCCGAAAATAAATCTCGCAGAGCACTTACAAATACTCTTGACTAAATCTATAGGGCGGAGAAATAAGATAGAGTTGAATGGTTAGGATTGGTTATTATTTAGTACACTTTCTTTAAAGCGGCCAAAATGATCATATCGAATTGTCGTGAACAAGCCACCTTACCCGATATGAAATAGTCCGAATGAAAAAATAAGTAGATGAGATATAAGGTTGTATGCGTGCAGCATCTGTTTACCTTTCTCTGTTTCATCGGATTCCGGTGTGTCTACGGGCTGTAGAGAAATCAACTTACAATTGTCGTCTAAATTTTCTCCACAGGAAGTTTGAACGACGTTATTTTCATGTGATCTGTTCAATGTAAATTGTGACTTTCCCTTGTAAGTCGATCTTAACGTGCGACTGAAAATAGAAGAAAAAACCTTGGCCTTAATTTACGAAGAATAACACCCAGAGAATGATTTATATATCTTTGTCTTATATATATTACTCGGTCTTGTGAAAACTGGTGGGCGATCCGCTCCAAACAATTTGCTACTCGACGAATATGAATCAGCCGTATAATGTTTAGACCAGGGGCACATTATGAGTTAAGGGCATCACTGGCTCATTATAGAGCAAGTTTAAGACAGGTGATGATTACCCCATGCACTTTATAAAAAAACTATCTTTTGCATGACTGTTACTTTACCATGATTTTGAATGTTGCAAGTTCTTTTGGAAATGCTGTGCTTTTTCTCTAAACCTCTCAAGTGTATCTGAAAACCCTTTCTTTTTCCCAAACTGACTGCTATTTTTCTTGGATACAAGGGATGTATGGTGGTCACCACCAATGGCCTCGTCTTCTACATCCTGAAGGAAAATGGTATTACCGGTTCCATGACCATTGCAAAATTGCAACAGAAAACTGGAATGCTTACAACAAGCTTGGACCCAATATGTGTTCTAGTATACCACACTTGATAAAATGAGTAGAACTTTGACAATTATTGGCTTCCTATACAATATTCATTGGGGACAACTAAACATTTTTTATGCATCAGCTTGTATTCCATTTGGTATTCGGTAGTACTTATCATAGTTGGTAAGGAAAAATTTGTATTCATATGTTACTAAATCCGCTATATTTTAAGTCAACAATGTACAAAATTATTACAAAAGGCTGCTTTGCAAAAGGCTGTTTTTTTAAATTTAATTTTTGAAAATTAAGAACATTTAAAAACTCGATTTTACAGAATTTAAATGGCACAAGACCAGGAATAAGTATTATTGGTTAAACTGTTTAAAAAATTAGGCCAAAGACAAATTCAGGTTTGAGCAAAGTAAACATACCGGTGATGAACCACTGAATATAACTCTAAATGTTGTAAGATGCAACGTTCCTTCCACAGGAGAGAGATATGTTTCAACACATATTGCATCTTGCTGCAGCAAAATCTTCTCACCAGGTAGTAATGTTGGATGTTTTGACAATTTCTTATTGGTAGCTGGAGCAAGGAGTGGCTTTAAAAAAATGAAGGTATAGAGGTAATATATAATTGAGTAGCAAATCATCTGCTTTTATTAACAGAATTCAATTTAATAATGAACTAATAGTGTTTTAGGAATCAGAACCATGTATTATAGTGATTATAATTTTTTCCAGGCATTAATGACCTTTGACTGTCAGGACATTTACATGAACTTGACTAAATGCAGTAATACAAAAAGCTCACTGGTCAGAAATCATTATTTGAAGTTTGTGCACATTTTTTAAAACTGAAAATTCCAAATAGATAAAAACAGTGTAAAAAAAGAAATGCCCATGTATTAATTTTTTGGTTTATTTGTAATGTGTATTTGTATGCACAGCCAAAACCAAAAATTCTTAAGAGGTCAAGGCTCTGCAAAACATATTTTCCTCCAAGGTCCTAAGTAAAAATATCTTACTACATACTAATAGCTCTATTATATATAAAAGATAGCAAATTAAAAAACTAGTGAATAAAATGCAAAAGATTGAAAGCACTAAAATTAAAATATGTTGTCAAAAGGTGCGTTTGACTTTTTCCCATTATCCCTGATCGGTCACCTATTAATCCCCTCTAGGGTCTGGATCTGCTTTGGGAAGATAGCAAAAATTCATTATTTGTGTAATATGATCTTGACCAAAACTCATTAGAAGGAGGGTTTTCATCTATTATTATACAAATTGTATTCTTCTATATTTATACCTTATATTATTTCATATCACAAGTTAAGTTATTTCTTTAAACAAATCCATACAATAAGTTTGGCATTGTATGTGTTTCGGGAAGATTGTTCATAATATTAAAATATGGAACTGCCACCTCCGCAATAGATATAATCATAACTAGGGATCCAAGAATAGTGCAAAGTTTTCATGCCCTGTAATACCTAAGCAACCAGACGTTTGTCCCAACATAAACATTTTGACTTATGCCTGTAAAAATATAACGAACTAGGTTAAACATTAATCAAAAGGAAATTACTCAAAGTACTCAAATGACGTTAGCCGCGGATACTGTCACTATTAAATTATAGCTAATTTTAGTTGCCCATGTAAACCGGCCCAAAGGGCGCGATTTTCTCAGTCTCTTTTCTTCGTCAAACAACTGTGACTACATTCACTACATTTATATGACGGCACCAATTTATCCGTCATTTCATAAGAATAGCCAAAATAGTTGCGTTGTAAATAATGTAAATAAACCGCGGTGCATATTATGTATATGATGTGGATACTTCGACGCGTAAAATCGATACAAAACAATATACTTATAATCAATACTGTATACCTCCAAAATGATTTGATTACTGCACAAAATGTCCGTTTTGTATAGTATCATTTATGTACTGTATGCAGAATATCAGGTATCGACTTGCTATCGACATAATATACATTCGTGTAAGAGTCTATCAATACATATTAAACAACACAGCGTCGTTTCTTCCTAACCTCTTAGCTCTATTTATGGAATAAACCTTCCAAATTATATTTGTGTTGAATTGAATGCTCGTAATTCATAACATAAGTTGATAAAGTGCGTAGATTCTCAAAGATTTGCTCGATTTTTACGCCCGGAATGTTTTGAAGCAATGCTCGTCGCTCCTCGTTTCTTTACATCGTGAATAATGTTCAAGTCTCGACGGCACATGCGCAGTTGCGACGTGTAAGAAAGAATCGGGTGTTCCGGGGGGTAATTTTTGCAAATCCCTTTAAAACAAAACCCAAACCGCGGAAAAGCAATGCTTCAAAATTTACAGTAACCGCCAAAATCCCTCAATATTTTGGTGAACTTTGCAGAACGGGTATAGTGCATTAATAAATAAAGCATGTTAAACTGATTTATAAACCTTAAATTACTGATCATACACAAAAAGTTACTATACGCATAAATCAACCTACCCCCCGTAAAGTTTACACTATGACTGACTGACTGACTGACTGACTGTCTGACTGACTTACTGACTCGTTTGAATTTTCGCCACTCATCACAATACTGCAAAGTTTCTCAAACTTTGCACTAAAAATGGAGAAGCCACTGTTCGAAAAGTTCGTGTCTAACAGAACTTTGGTAAAATAATTTTCATACATGTAATTTGGTTGCCATGTCTAATGATACATAGTATAGGGCCTGGGGCAGAATTACCAGGTTGAATATATGTGTTGTTTAACCTTCATTTCACTGTACAGGGTGAAATAAAAAAATAATGTCATTCTTTACATTTATTAGAATATGTTGAAGACTTGTACAAGACAATGCTAAGTGCCGAAAGTGATCAGGTGGATGAGGCATACAAGGAGTTGGTAGATATGACACCAGATCCCATGAATTCTATGCTGCAAAAGCAACCAAGAAATGAAGCCATAAAGAAGATGCTTGATCGTCAAGAAATGGTTGTTGTCAATGTCAGACCCACTGCAGGTATTCCACATTTGCAGTATGTGTACTCTTTTCAAGGAATAAAAATATAGAGTGACAGTGGGAAATACAATGCAACATAAATTGTATGGGTATGTATAATAGTTAAGTATATTAATTTTATTTATTTTTTAGAGCCTTCTACTGTGCAGGTACAACCGGTAGCTCCTTGCGAGAATCGAGCAAAACCATGCTGTAGAACATGTGGCCAACCCATGAAAGGCCATAAAAAGGTTTCCAACTGTCCTCGAAACCAGAAGTAATGACAGGATGTATATATGTATATTTGTAAATATTTAATTGGTTCCTTAGTGATATTAAAATGCCTCATACTCAAGAACTTTGTTCTCAATTACAAAAGCTTTCCCAAAAAAGACAAGATGGAAAGCACTGGCAGGATGAGGGGAAATATTATTATGGAAGCCACTATTACAAGTCACTATTACAACTAGTATTACAAGTCATCCATCCCCGGTGATGTTAAATAAGCCTATAATAAGCATGTGTTTGTATAAAATTTTAATCCAATATTTTAAAACCTTTTCTTACAAGACTTTTAAACTAACAAGGCTGTGAAAGAAGAATTATATAGTTAGTGTCAAATATTATACCAAAGTATCTACATTAAATTAAGATGCGTTTTCGTCATCATCATCATCATCATCATCATCATCATCATCATCATCATCATCATCATCATCATCACATCATCATCAAATCCCTGGTATTCCTTTCCACTGAATTTGCTGCGTATTACATGATAGGCACATGCAGGCAGTGGTATTCGTCTTTTTCCTAAGTAGCCATAAACAAGTTGTATATATTGTCTGTATGCAACACTTCGAAGATATCTGCAGAGTGAAACAAAAAAATATGTTGTTTACTTATTTGAGAATACTGAGTTTTCTATTATACCCATGTAATCAGTGCATTGTTAGCCAGGGATCAAGGTATTAGGTATGGAGCAATGCTGCATGTGCACATTTACTGTAGCCTAGCAGACTAGGATATGTAAACAGAAATCCATATTGTAATGCATTTCAAGTTTGATTGTTTAGTGCTAAAGTTGATGGGTTCCTGTAGAAGCATTGCACTGTTTATATAAACACAACATTGACTATTGGTACTACAAGAAGACATATATTACAACTCCATTCGGATCTTTACCTGTTTTCGTCGCTACCCATTTTATACTTTTGTCTGTCGATTCTTCTAAACTTTGGCCCAGCTAAGCGCAATGACCAAATAGATAAACACACATCGCTAAAGCCAGGATGAAGTGTGATGCATTTAGGGACCGCACTCATTTCTTGCATGATAATATCACTGCTGAGTGCCTCGCCACAGCCTTCTACTTCTTGGCAACATTTACTCTCTTTTTCGTTTTGCAACAAGTCGGTTTTACAATTCCCACATCCACACCTGCGGAAGGAAAAATGTAATAAAATAACCTAATACTGAACACGTGAGTTTAAACAGTGTAGGTAGTTTTACTCACCAGCCTTCAACAGATACACGTCCTTCGAGCCGGCCTCTAAGTACTCGAAGCCTATCGTCTTGATTGCGCCTTTCTTCGTAATAGTTTTCTACCCATTCAGTGTCAGCAATTGGTTCGTCTTGGTATGGTTGCATTAATTCTTGATCGCCTTGTGCTTCGGTAGCCAAAGGAGCGTCATCTTCAACTTCCATCATGTAGCTCGTAATAAAATTATTTTCTGATTCACTTTGGCTATCGATCGGATCAGTAAAGCTCGACGACATTGTCGTATCCGCCAAATTAAGCAAAACGCGGCAGGAAAGTTGGAAAGATACAACTCAAAGTCTATCTTCGCTCTTGCAATATGTAAAATATAGTCTTTTATAACTTTGCAAGAAATGCGAGTTCCCGAAATGACGTCACAACCCGTCTCACAAGCGTTCTCGCCCTAGTCCTTTTAGGGTCACGGTTTTATTCAAAATCACCAACTTTGAGGTCCTCAAAGTCAATGAAGATGAAATTTTCGACCTATCAAATATATTGCAAAAAACTATCTAAAAAGTCTATTTCCCCAATCATGACATAGGCACTTAAATGAGTATTGCTGAAATTAATGCATCCTATAGACGACCAATTTAAATAGGCAATAATTATTAAAGACTTATGTATAATTGTTTGTGAACCACAATTTTTCATTTTTGTAGCTGAAAATGGTTCCAAGATTTTTAACATTTCTTGGATAACCAAGCAATGGGCTCTCGTAAGAATCCAGCACCAGGGCAAAAAGGAATGGGCCGAAATCTCGGTCCGACCAGTTGTTTACAAAGACAAAATTTCCTACGGAAAATGGAGACGAGTGTTCTTACACTCCGTAGTGAAGATTAAGACAGCTCAAGATGGTGCCCCAAGCACAATGGCATTCATAAACTTACCATCTGACGCATCATATGAAGTTCGAATGATGCCAATGAACCCCGATGGTGAAACCAGAACAGCTGTATATATGTTTTTAGATGCACAAGAAACCGCCGATAAAGGTTTGAACACAATAAAAAACATAAAATATATCTTGAATACAGGCAACCTGTCATGATTCTTTACTAAGAAAACCTGGATATGTTAGATCACTCTATAAATGTGCTTCTGAGAGGGGTCATATAATTCGGAGTTATCATATGTGGAAGCGGATGAAGCATTAGACGTATCATGATGCATCTTGAAACTCAGAGGCGTTTGCATTTAATACCATGCACGTGTCAATACCAGAGTCTTTTTTAGTAAAGAGTTATCGGTGTTCGTACTAGAGGTCAACCTAACTTTCCAACACACAACTTCTTTATAGACTCCGTGCAGTATTTCTATGTATTTCTGAAGATCATTTGCGTTATTCTTTATGTCGTTCCAGGAGAGACAGTGAAGTTCAAAAAACGTGTTGGCACAATGAAGAATTTCAAGGTTACGTGGTGTCAGTATTGGCATGGTTGGTGGATGCATCGCGGTGCTTCTAATCCAGACTATCTGCTATTGTATCATGGGGTAAGGATTATTCAGATTACTTGTATACATGTTGTTCTTCAGCAAAAGCGGCTGTATTCAAAAAGTCAATAGGGTTATACAATTTGATTCGATAAATAAACTTTAACCAATCTGGTGAACAAAAACATAGATCATCAATTTGTAGAAACACCATGTACGTGCATGTATTTATTATATGCGCCGCTTTCGGGCCATTAACCCTGAAATTCATCAGTGCAATAAACTTTTGGACATATTGTAACAGCCCTATACACGTCCTTTGAATGGTTTAACTTTAAAGTTTCAAGATTTAATCATCCTATGCACTATAACTTATATGATTTAAAGATGAGCTTGGTATTTTGATGTTTCTTTCGAGAGCTGTGTTCAGTGTAACAGAATTTCACAATGTTTCATTGCTTTTCATTTGTGGCTTTTTAGAAGCTGCGCTAAATGCGCAAAGAAGCTGCGCATCCGCAGAAAACAAAATGCTGACGTGCCAACTGACGTCGTTATTGACATTGAGAAAGATAACGAGGTAAGTGTTGCTCGTATTCCACAAAAATGACCATACGAGTAGAGGAAGAAATGGGAAGATATAGCGTTGTTGTTCCCTTTGAAGTGCCGAATTCTAAAATAATTAATTTGAAAATCGCGAGCTGGAGATCTTTTAGAGACAAAACAATGGACAATTTCCGGGTCGGAATACTTTCAAGAACAAACTGAAAGTACTAAAATGATGTAAAATACGGAAAATATATGCTGGTAAAATGCGAAATGTCATACTGAGAGAAAACGTCAATAATTCCGGCTCAAAAGTGCGTACTCTTTTTCTTTTAGATCGAACAAGCTTCAGACGAAACAGAGACGACAGTCCTTGAAGCGAAAGAAACTGGCACAGAAGAGGCCAAGGAATAAAGCAGCTTTTGAAGATACAATTTTCAGTTTTTTATATGTTTGCATGTTAGATTTCTACAAGACTTCTACAAGACGTTCATGGCTCATGTTTGGCCGCATCGATAGCAGAGATGGCATTATGTGCGGGGACACAAGAATACAAATCCGTACATTCGAGTAGATATGACTTTCGTACAAGTATACAAAGCGAAAGAATTCGGAATCCTGAGGCCCGATATCATCACCATTTGCAGTCAAATTCTACTTTCCTACCGAAATTAAGATGGACTTCCGTGTGGATTGGAAGCACCTGTGGAGTGCGTGGTTAAAATGTCTCAACCGACTTGATCAACTGACTTCCTCTAAGGTACGTCACAACGGATCTTTGGACGACCAATGATGGTTACTCCACCGTGGGCCCAAACTGAAGCTCTACCAGTAACGAAACATCGCAAGAACGAAATCTGAATTTCAAGACGAAAGTAAAACATGGATTTGATTGCTGCATGCGATGTTTCAAGCGTGTTTGGGCTCGAGAAGCAGTTCGTGTATACGCATCTTCTGTTGTATGATACAAGTTTACTACGCAATTTGTTACAATGACGTGTTACCCGCAAGTGACTTGTGTTTGCCATAGTTTATTGCTCTCGATTAAAATTTAAGAAAATAATAGTATTAAAGGTGAAAATGTGTAAAATTGTATGGTGTCATTGCATGCTATTTGTAATAAACTAGATTTAATTAACAAAGTTGGGTATTTTGTATTTTTTGCGGGCGGCCTTTCTCCCAGCCGAACAGTGCTTGCAAAAAGCCCGTTTTCGGTGTTAATAAAATATTATTTTATTTTCTCGGAAAGATACATGTGGTATTCTATTGTTATTCTTTTTCTATAAAGCAATGGGGAAAAGACCTTCCATGGAGATGTACAAAACGCACGGTGGTACTGGAGCCCTTTCCTTACAATTCTCGCGGTTTGGTGAGAAAAGTCCCTAAAATTTGCCCTGTGGCTTTCTGCCCAGCCGAACAGTGCTTACAAAAAGCCCATTTTCGATGTTAATAAAATATGATTTTATTTTCTCGGAAAGATGCGTGTGGTATTCTATTGTAATTGTTTTTGTATAAAACAATGGTCAAAAGATCTTCCATGGAGATACCGTACAAAACGTACGGTGGGACCGAAGCCCATTGCTTACAGCTCTCTCGCGGTTTGGTGAAAAAAGTCCCTAAAATTTCTCAAAATAGAAAACGAAGCATCAAATATTTACGAGGAACATGCTCTTTAGCTTAGCACACAGCCATACTGTTTAGAACTCGCTAAATTCGCCGCTAAAATTATAAGGCAAAAACCAGTTATCATGCAGCATTAATAAGCAAACAATTTTGAACAACTTGCGCCATTTGAAAGTTTAAACTTCACGTTACTATAGTCCAACAGGAAAAGGTAGCAAGCGGCAAAAAAGAGAAAATAGCTTTTGTAAAACTATAACTGGTCCTTTGTGGGCAGATTCAGTTCTGTGCCTTTTTTTGTGTCTGAGTAAAAAACGAGAGGCACTGGGAAACTGGGAACAATTTTCTTTGATTGTTCTCGTTCCAACGCCACGCTCCGACGCAAGCAATTATGAACGTCACAATCTTTCAATTATAGCGTAAATTTATTTTGCTTCTTTCGAGTTTGACATAGCGCAATGAAGCAAGGCGATATTATGACATTTTTGGTAGCAATTTTTGGATTATTGATGATCCTGTTTTCGCAAGAAGGTTTTGCATTACGTTTCTGTCCTCCACGAACCATGGCTGTTTCCCTACGCGAGGCAGGAGACGCTGCTGAATGCGTTTGCCTGGAGGAATTCACTGGCCCACAATGCCAGTACAGAGGTAGGTCATTACTGCGTACTATATATCAACTTATAGAACCTTAAATGCAAGTTAATAATATGAACCTTTCGCATTTATATTAAGAACAGTTTAAAACCGATAGAGCTATATATCCAGTATAAACAAACTTAGTTTAGTTTAGGTTTCTTCATGTAGTATCACTGGATTAATAAGAGATGATCCTTTCCGGCCTTAAGTTGGGAAGAAATGTTTAAAGCTGATAGAGCTATCCTGCATGCATAGATAAGTTAAGTTAGTTTAGATTTCCTTTTGTAGTAACAATGGAGCAATAAGCGGTGATCCTTTTTTGTAACTTTTATATATAGAAATCGAATAGCTTTGCAAAGGTAAAACTGTTTTTAAACTAAATAGTCTTGAGAACGAGTGGATTAATTTGAGACTCGTCTTGTAGTAACACTCCTAAATTACACAACAGAATTAAACAGAGAAAGAAAAATATAAGAGTAGCTAATTATTTAAAAATAAAAGTTTTTATACGTAAAACTTTTGATCATGCACGTTCTTCAGCGCGTGCACATCAATTAATTCCCCATTCCAAGCGCGCGCCATTAATGGCTAATCAATATTACAGAATTTATCTTTAAAAATCTGACATCTCATATAAGGGAAAAATTGCTATTTTAGACCATAGTTTTCAAATTTTTTGAACTGAATAAAATGAACTGCTGGTCTAATATTCTGTTGTATCCTTTGCCAATCCCGTCGGAACATTGTTACTGAATTTCAAGTTCAGAATAAAATATTAAAGAATTTACCTTTCAAAATCTGACGTTTTATATAAGGGAAAAATTGCTATTTTAGATAAAGATTTTCAAATTTTTTGACCTTAATGAAATGAACTGCTGGTCTAATATTCTGTTGTATGCTTTGTCAATCCCTTCTCAACATTCTTGCTCAATTTGAAATCTAGCAAATCAATATTAAAGAATTTAACTTTCAATGTCTGACATCTCATATAAGGGAAAAATTGCTATTT